TGAAATAAGTCAGTCACAAAAAGACCTATGAATCCAATTATATGAGTTATCTAAAGAAATTGAATTCATGGAAACAGAAAGTGAAATGGTTGTTAGAAGGAGTTAGGGGGAGGTTTAATGGAGGATCATTGTTGAATGAAGAAGAAAAATTGTAAAGCTCTTATGCGCAAATGTGTGAATATATTTAACACTGCTGAATGCTAAAAACGGTTAAGACAGTAAACGTGACTTACCACAACTTTAAAAAAATAAAAATAATCAAAAAGAGAAACCTGTTTCAAAAAAGGGAGAAGTGGCCAACTAAGTTGAGTGCTGCCGAGAGACCAAGCAAGAAGAGAACAGAGTTAACGTACAGGTTTTTAAAGATGGCGATCATTGGTGACCTCTACACACCTGGTTGCAACAGTATGACGGGGAAAACCAGACTGAGACAGAACTACAAGGTTAGAAAGCGGAGACAGCCCAAGTGGACATTTCTCAGGAGAAGGTTAGCAAGGAGTAAGACTTGGGGCAGAGTCAGTAGGAACTAAGGTATTCGTTTTGTTTTGTTTGAAGAGGAAGCTATTTGAACATATTTGAATGCATGATGCCTTGTACAGGGAAAGATTGATGGGGCAGTGAATAAGAAGTCTTAAGGAATGCTGCTCTTGGGAAGTGTGAGGAGAAGGGAAACAGCTCCTGAGAAAGGACAAGTTTTGACAGGAAGACAGACAGTTCCTCTAAGAGGACAGGAGGAATGCATGCAGGTGGGTATGTGGGTTTGAAGGTGAGAGTGGATAGAGTTTACATCAGATGGTTTCTATTTTCTCTTCAAAATGTCAGGTGACCTTGATAATGTGAGGGATGGGGAGAAATTCTATCAGCACTTTGAAGAGATCAAATGTATGTCATTAGTCATCCAGGATCGTGGAAAAACGAGCCTGACAGTGAATCAGAATCACAGGAGGATTGCCCAACTGCATGGCAGGCTTTGGAATTCTGTATTCATTATTTTAAAGACAAATGACCATGTTTCATGTTGGTCCAATCTAAGAGGCACCTCTGAAACTGGGACACATTGTACTGTTGTCCCATAGTTTTCTGGCACCCTTTCAGTTTAATTGTCAGCATTTTTTTTCTTAGTGGTCCATAAAACAATGGGCATTTTATACTCTGTGGCATCTTAGAGTCAGTGAAATATGGTCACTTTATCTTTGCCAAGTTCAGCCACTCATGTGAAGACATGGAGAAGGCATTTTCTTCAGGGTTAGCTTTAAAAAACAAGATAACTAGATAGTAGCTCCACAATAGCTGTCTATCACAAAAGCCTATTTGAACCCACTCACATTTAATGTAATTCCAAACTCATTATAAGCACTGCCTCCGGAGGTGATGAGCTCTATGTTACTGGAAGTGTTTCATCTGGAAGTTTGGTCTATAAGGCCAACTTCTATCTTTTGCCAGTTTAAGACTCTATCATAAAATTGTCTTAGAAGCTCAACTCTCATGAAACATTAGTTCAGAATTCCTTGGCCTAGATGTCCAGTTTTAGATGCTCAGAAGTTGTATTTTAAGTAGAAAGTGGTTATAAAGAAGGGATCCAGAGAGCATGTGTATCCATTTACCTACTATATGCCCACCCATATGTTAGGTTTGGGGGAAATAAAATAATAAAAGCTGGGTCTCTGACATAAGAGCTCACAGTCTATTGTGAGATGGACAAGAAACAGAGAGTTGTCACCAGAGGCATTCATTCTTCTAAGCCCTTGTGTAGCACATGTTTATTGAGCTCCTACAAAGTGTCAGCCACTGTTCTAAGTGCTGGAAATACAGCAGTATTAAGGTTCCTGCCCCCATAATCCTTAGGGAATAAAATTAATAACATTGCCAAACACGATTATTTTGACCAGTTACATAGATAAAAAGTAAGAGAGAACTACTGGGGTGCTGCTATTGACAAGGTGGCGTTAGGAGTATCAATTAAGGTCCTTTGGTCACAAGTAATAGAAGACCTCACCATGGCCAAAGTCTTAAGAGCATTATTTTTTTTAAAAGCCCAGAGGTTCTTGATCCCAGAGTGGGTTTACCAATGTAGTGTCCCAAGGCTTTTGCATCCTCCTATTCCCCTACCCTCTACATTTTGTCATTTTCCTCAGGCTTGTTGCTTCATGGTTGCAAATGGTTGCCATAGCTGCAGACAATACATTCTCATAGGTTTGAAAGCCAGAAGGGAGAAAGAAGTAGGGGAAGAGAGGCAAGATCATCTTTTTTCTAGTGTCACTATCTCATTTCATCAGGAAAAAGTCCTTCCTAGAAGCTCAGTCCTCTCCCAGCATCTTAAACGCAGATGGTCACCTCTCTACATCTAATTCAGAAAAGTGGCCAGAATTGGTGCAAAATCATAATGAGTCATCAAATATGGATATTTGGCAACAAAGAAAGACTGATCTTGAGTAGGTAAATGGTGGCTGCCAAATCAGGAAATGCTTCTCTCAGGAGGTGACATTTAAACTCAAACAATGAGGTAGTGCCAGTCTTGTGTGCCATGTTCCATGATGGTACAATGGAGTAACTGGGTCAGGGTGGTTGGTCGTGGAAGGTGAGACAGTGGAGGAGACACTTGAAGACAAAGATGAATCAGCCAGGTGAGCTGGGTAGAGTTGGGTGGAGTCCATTCAGGCTGTAGTTGAGGCCAATGGAAAAGAAAAGGAACATGAACCAATTTGACATCAGGATAGAGCAAAGTGGACAAGACAGAGAAGATGTTTGAAAATGACTTCAGAGGGGAAGATTCAGCTTCCAACATTACAACATGAGCACAAGGGGAATGTGCGCAAAAGGAGGGGTCCTCAGTTTCAACCTCAGGCTTTGGAGGAGACTTTCCCAAGAGACAGTTGGGTTGAATCATGACTAAGGACAAGGAGTTTGCCAGCAAATGAGATGGAAGGTTATCCTAGGACAGTGATGGCGAACCTATGACACATGTGTCAGAGGTGACATGCGAACTCATTCTTTCGGTTGATTTTTCTTTGTTAAATGGCATTTAAATATATAAAATAAATATCAAAAATATAAGTCTTTGTTTTACTATGGTTGCAAATATCAAAAAATTTCTATATGTGACACGGCACCCGAGTTAAGTTAGGGTTTTCCAAAATGCTGACATGACGAGCTCAAAAGGTTCTCCATCACTGTCCTAGGAAGAGGGCACAGCATGCTCAGAGGCCTGGAGACTTGAAACAACATGATGAAAACAGATGTTATCAATGTATATATCACGTGTGAGACAGGGAGTGACTGCCGACCAGACTGGAGCTATGCTTGGGAGCTCTGCTTTATTTAGATGACGCCAGCACTCTCCTTTCAAACAGCTGAGAGTCCCAGGTAATAAAAGCCACGCTGCTTCTCTGGTTTATGCTGTGTGAGGTTGGGCTTGGGTGAGCTCCAAAAACACTTCCATCTTTTATATTTCCCGTCTCTAGTAGATGCTCAATACAAGTTTATTGAGCAAATAAAGTATGAAGGAGCCTCAGCCTTTCCTGTTGCCAAACTTTGCTCATCAATAGGAATTGGGTATGTCCTTCCAAGCCTGGGCCACCGGCCTCCAGCAGCCTTTCCCTGCTTCAGGCTTTCTGCTTCAGCTTTCAGTGGGAAAGGCCTTGCAGATCTTTCACATTTATGCTTCTTCTCTTCCCAATAAGATTGTGACCTCTTACTGGATCACATTTTATGTAAAATAATATTCCCACAAATATACGGCCCCTTAGGTACATGACATTTAATGAAAATACTGAAATGTCCCACCTGATAGACACCCTTGACTGGACCTAGGCCAATAGGTGCTTCTCAAATCTCTGGTCACTCCCTAGAAGATCCAGAGCAAGGGGTCCTCAAACTACGGCCCGCGGGCCACATGCAAATACAAATAGTGTATTTGTTCCCGTTTTGTTTTTTTACTTCAAAATAAGATATGTGCAGTGTGCATAGGAATTTGTTCATAGTTTTTTTTAAACTATAGTCCGGCCCTCCAACAGTCTGAGGGACAGTGAACTGGCCCCCTGTTTAAAAAGTTTGAGGACCCCTGATCCAGAGCAAGGCATTATGCAAAATGAAGACGAGGGAGCACTGCGAGTAACAACAGGGTGCCTCTCCATGTGTTGCAAGAACTTCTTAGTGGAGGCTTTGAAACATGCCACACCCTAGATAGAGCTGAGTGTGGTTGGTTTTTGAAATATGGGCTTTGGAAAGCCAGAAAGTCTATGAATGCTAAAAAAAAAAAAAAAAGAAAAGAAAAAGAAAAAGAATTTGAGTGTTCAAAATTAGAAAGCTATATTACTGTCCATGTTGCCTTCCAAGAGCTTCCTCCTTGTGTCAATAGAGGGTAGGTTATGTTGAGTTAAAAAATCGCTCCCAAATTTCAGCAACTAAGAACAGTAGTCATTTTTGCTCAGGCCCAACACAGGTCCGCAGGGCCTTCGGTTTATCACAGTGACTGAGGGACCCAGGGTGATGGAGTAGCTACCATGTTGAATTGCCAGTTACCACGGCAGCACAACCCACATGACCCCATCTAATCACAAGGAAATTAGGAAACGCAGTGCTGCCTTGTGCCTGGAACCGGGGACAGCCAGAAGCAATTGGAGAACCATACTCCCAGATCCTAAGGACCAGGACACCAGACAAAGGCAGAGCTCCAAGCACAGGCTCGGGTGTTTTCTGTGTTCATTTTCAGGTCCAGGCAGATTCCTAGGGATGTTAACAGCCGCTGCCAAGTGCCGCCACCATAGACCTGGATCCCTTGCCAAAAAGGGAAGCCTTTGCTGTTTGTGAGAGCCGGTGTGTCACCCAGTGTGTGACTCACTCGTTTTTGGGCCCTGTGCCCCTCCCAGGGTAGAGCTGCTCCCAGGCAGGACTGGTCTGTCAGGCTGCACGGTCCCTGCATACAGGGCTGGCTGCCTGTGCCAGGGCAGTGCCCAGCCTGACTGCCTCAGCCTGGGGATCTGCCATTTGGCGCAGGATTGGCTGCTTGGAGATATAGGAACCCAGCCTGCTGATTTGGGCAAGATATGACAAAGGAAAGGCACTGACCCCCCCTGTCTTCAGCGGCCAGGGATCAGGGCAAATTGGTTGGTGACTTGTTGGCTGGCCACAGTGAGTAGTCCCGTGCCTTTCTTTTCCTTCTGATGACGTTCTCCGGAGAAGAATTTCAGAAATGAGAAGCCAATTACGATTCTACAGTGGCAAGGCTTTGTAGCTTGGGGTTTAATAACATACTAAGTGAGTAAAGGTTAAAAAAGAATTTGGTAACTTGGAGGCACTTTATAGAATGCAGTCAGTGCACTAGTCTGGTATGAAAATATTTTTGTTTTCATTGATTACTCTCTGCTCCTCTGGCCCTCGCCAAATATGGGAGTCCAGGAGATTGGAATCCTTGAAGGAATTTTCTTTTTTCTGATCATGTAAAAATGATGTGCCAATACAATAATTTTTCTCTCTTATCAAACTTTGTAATGTTTTGTCTACAATTTCGAGTTATTATCACAGAACCAGACTTACAGTCTCCTTGAATACAGAGGAATATTTTTACGCCTTCACACATACACACACACACACACACAACAACAACAACAACAAAAACAACACCTTGCATTTTTCTGTGACTAACCTATGGCATTAAGAATTCTTGATCCTATACATTATTTTTCTCAGATCAGTCTTACTTTAAAGAAATGTAAAGTTTGGGGAAATTATTCTTGGTTTATAAGCTTGTCTGTATTGTGTCATTCTTTGTACGGGGGAAGAGAATGCCCAAGTGCCTATATTTTCATATTATTTCTTAAAATATTGTTGTAATTGATACTTAAGTCTATTCCTTCCTTTCCTGAAGGATTCTTTGTCATTATTTGTTGTGTGTGAATTTCAAAAGTCTGGCTTTGCTTTAAAAACTTCCATCCTTTGAATTTTGACACAATATGTTTTCCTCCCTGAAGTAAACTTACAGATAAAAGAGTGAGACTTTGATTAATCTCACATTATTTTTGGTTTACTGAATTTCCCCTTTCTAAGTTCATTCTTATAGTTTGGGAAAACTGACTTATTTGTAGCTCAGAGGAATGATTTCAAGTATATTCCTGGGCAAATGATTAGCCTTAAAAGACTGTAAAACTTGTATTTTATATCTTTGGGGATTGTGTTCTAAGATCACACAGCCCCAAATCCCTTTTGGACAATATTTGCATAATATAGAGTTACTGCATCATTGTGTTTTTGCAAAATGAATGAAAATTTGTAAACAGAAACCAAGACTCTTCTGCAAAGATAATGAGAACAGTGAACAGCTGCAAGCCTGGTCTCCCCAAAACTGGACTTGGGAGTGGGGGTACAGGGACTGAGGGTAGATTTATTTTGCCCTGGGCCCAGGTGATAATGGGGTGCAGGGTCTACAGAGAATATGTCTAAATATAGCTAAATAAATAGGACCAACTAAAACTCGATCTGCCTTTTATTATCAGCATGCTAATTCTCAACCACATCATTTGTGACAAAACACTTCTTGCCACTGGGACAGAGCACACCCATAGCCCCACTCCCTCCCTTTTTGGTACAGCGCCTGTGTTGCGTGGGATTTGTAGCTTAGCATGTTGTCTCATTATCTATAATCCCATAATCTTGGGACCTCATGTATTTGTTTCTTTGTGTGTGTTTGTTTTAATGTATTTCTCTTAACATAATCTCCATCTTTCTAGCCAATAAACCCTCTCTGGTTTTCTTTTTGTTTAAGGTTTAGGCTATAGAATCTTCTTGCTTCTGTATATCACTCCTGAATCTTTTGATTTCCATGAACAAGCTCGTAAGTCACACTACTTTAAGCCCCAAAGGTGATTTTATTATCATGATTTCAGGGTATGCAATACAGGATCCTGCGTGTCACCAGGATCTCTTTTTATGTTTGTCCTGGGTGTATCTGCTTCATTTCGCACTGTCTGTCCTGTCTGTATTTGGGCTGTTCCCCATTACATATTGGGACTGTTTTCAATTCTGTATGTTAATATCACCTGGGGAGTTTTTTAAAAAGCCTATTCATCCGTAGATATTTACAATTAGTGCAATGTAGGTGAAGGGGTATATAGGCGTTCATGGCACTCTTCCTTTAACTTCTCAGTAGTAATGAAATTATTCAAAATACAAAGATTTAGGGAAAAATCTTAGTGTCTGGGCCTTACCGCCGGAGAATCAGATTCAGAGGGCCTGGAGTAAAGTCCAGATTGGTCATTTTTTACAAAGCTCTTCTGGGAATCCTCACGTGCAAGGTTGGAAATTGCTGCTATGGGATGCTGTCTTTGTCAGCTTCTCTAGAAGAGAGTGGATCCTTTTTCTTCTTCTTGTCAAAATTTAAAAAATTCCTGGAGTGAGGACTCGGGGGCCCAGCTTGGGCCAGCTTCCATCTCCTGACCCAGTCAGCAATGGCTGTGTGCACACAACACAAGGTAGATTAGCATTTTCCAGGTAAGTGTGGGTGGGGTACGGGGACAGCTAGGCAATAATAATGATAATAACAATAGGTGTTCAGTGAATTCCTCCAACAGAAATGCAAATTGAGTCCTGAACTGCTAAATCTGAGGACATCTGACCAAATAAGCCAAAGCCATTATTTCTTACTATAGCAATGTTTCAAATTATGTCATTGTTTGAAAAGAATGGAATGGTGGAGAATTATTCTTTGTCAGTTTGAAAGTTGTGTATAGCAAAATACAAATTAAATATATTTGGTAACAAAAATGAAAACTTTGTCCATATTCATGTGGGCCTTACAAAGTTTATGCATTAAATAATATATATTAATAAATACCATTAAGGAAGGTCACTCCTAGGCCTAATGTTCCAATTGTATCAGGTATACACTTAGTTCCATAACACATCTGGTCTTTAAAATCTCTCATATCCTTAAAGCAATTCTCTGGATCAGTTAGGCTTTGAGTTATTCTACTCCCCACCCCACAGTCTTATAGGAGATTCTACTGTAGTCTTGTCCTTGAAGGGGCTGCCTATTGCCAAGCGTCTGGCCACAATTCTGAGAGTCCTACACAGTCTAAAATTGTCTTGTAGCTGGAAGAGAGTGGCACTCTTCCTTCTGTACAAGCTTGGGCACAGAGCTTTTTGTGATGGTCCCTAATTCCAGGACCTCCAATTTCCAGTCTTCCTTGCACCTTGCGTCACCCACAGGAGGTCCTGTCACCACTAGGGGCATTGGATTGCCAATGACCAGGGCGTCTCTGTGCTTTAGTTGGATGGTTTTGGTGGGGAAAAGAGAAGATGCATAACACTGATGCACAAGGGCTGAACGATGACAAGTTTCCAGCTGGTTCTGAAAAGAGAACTGGGCTTCCAGAAGCAAGAACTGGACTTTGGGAGAGAGAAAGGCTCTGTGATTTCTGAAGGAATCAGAGTAGGAAAAGAGAGGGAAAAGAACGATGAAGATGGAAGAGGAGTTTTCCAGGCCCCCGGGAAGTGACAGAAACTGGGCCTGGCCCAGACAGTCTCTGCTTATTGAGATATTAAAGAATTGGGGTGATCTCTGTGGACCTGGTTAGTAGAGAGGAGAGTGTGGAACAATGGTTTCAGTGTGGGCCAAGTGGGGCCAAGCTCTGAGGCCCAAAGGCTAGCACTGATTGTCCATCTCAGCAGAAACTAGTGTAAAGGGAGGCTTATCTTTGCATGCCTCTCTCCCGGTGTTGATGTCAGAATATCATCATTCCCGAGGAGAATGGAAGAGGAGAAGAAAGAGGAAATGCTGAATTGATCAAAAGAGACCTAGTTTAAACTGACGGTCAATGAGTTACCTTGCATGGGAAAAATTACTATCATTGGATCAAATAAGGGCTCCAGTGCCAATTTAATTTAGTTAGAGTGCTAAAAACAGTTACATCTGTTTCATGATTGTTAAATGTGTACTGCTACATGTAGGGTCTTTGTGTACTTGTCCCAAGTATAGACTAAGTACCGATTATTCCTGCACAGATTGATCCAGAGGCCAGCTTCATCCAGCCAGCGTGGCTCAATGGTTGAGCACCGACCTATGAACCAGGAGGTCATGGTTGATTCCCAGTCAGGGCACATGCCCGGGTTGTGGGCACGATCTCCAGTGGGGGATGTGTAAGAGGCAGACAATCAATGGTTCTCTCTCATCATTGGTGCTTCTACCTCTTTCTCTCTCCCTTCCTCTCTGAAATAAATTTAAAAAAAAATTTTTTTTTTAAAGAGGCCAGTTTGCATCCAAAATGCTGGCTGTGCCTGAGAACCTCCGTCCCTCTCACCCCAGCCCTGTGTGTCTTCGTCTTCATGACTGCAGTCCTCCTCCTGGAATCTCATGTCGTGAAAACCATTTCAAAACTTAGGTGGTGCAAAAGTCTCTTCCTGCCCAAGAACCAAATTGCAAACGAAGTGCCCTTTGCATAGACACGTTGACACCTTGGCCATTCACTTATCCATTTAATATTGAGAATGAGAGTAAATTAACAATGTTTCACACATTCAAAGACTAAGAAAATTTTCCACCAAGAAGTCTTCACTAGAACAAGTTTGAAAGGATACAGTCAAGCAAGAAGTAAAGTGCATATAGAGAAAAGGTATGAACTACAAGAAAGAATGTTAAATGTAAGGAACCAAGGGACAAATGGTGTCCTTTTCCAATTGATCTGGATGCAACATTTCTTTCAGGTTTAAGAATTAGATAGTTCTTTGTGTTTTATATTGTTTTTAAGTTTTGTTTTTTGAATATCAACTTGGGGGGGGGCATTTTTTTTTCTATTTACATCGGAAAATAATTATTAATGGTTCTTCCATATATATGCGTGATGAATAATTATTTCCACATATATAACATAAATGAGAGAATACCAAATGTCAAATGAGATAAAGTTCACAAAAATATCATAAAACTATTTCAAAAGTAATCTGAAACTCTAATGCGGTCTAATAAAAAGTATGTCTGGTTGAATGCATATGCATACTTTAGTTTGGGTATTAAGGCATTGAGTCAAGAGGTCCACATTATTAATCCCTTTCCTGCCGTGCTCATCAGAGGGAGGCCATTTAAGCTTTCTCACTTTAATATTCTCATTTTGTGAAATGGAATAGAGTTATTACTCATC